GTATTCATAACATGTTCAAGTTAGATACACAAGTTGTTTTAAAAATACCAGCCAGCAAACCGACCCGCCCCGGCCAACCAGGGATTTAGCCCTCAAAGCCCGCTTTGCCAAAATGCTGAACCGGCAGTAACCAGTAAGTACTACGCCCATTCCGGTATGTATTTTGTCATTTCTCCTTCCTTTTGTGCCAATGCATGAAGTTTGCGTAGAATTTCATGTCAGTGTCACCTAATGCACAGCATCGGCTCCCTAATTCCAGCGATGTTGCGTGGACAGCAGTGATCAAAGAACCTGAGCAATGTAATTTATGCCGTACTAAATTTCATCTTAAGCTCTGTGATGCGGGCTCTCGCTGCAAAAGAGAGGGAAGAGGGTGTGATTTAAAATGACCTTTGACCAAAATGTACTAGATATTTTGTCTCTGTTCTTTATTCTGCAAACCATAAGCTACGTCTACCAAAATTGTACGCATCACCTGATGGCTTTGAGCTGACCTAGTACAGAAATACTGAAAATTCAAGTCATGGGAAGTCTTTTCACCTCATAAAATAGCACATGGGCACAAACTATTCGGATACGTCACCATCGCCGCAATGTGACGACCTGTATTCAAAACTCAAACGGAGGCTCTCATGTGGTGTTTGTGGTCTTAAACTGTGCAATCATGCCATACGGAATAAATGTAATATGGCAGCTTTCAAGTGATTCAAATTTTCCTTTGGCACAACCCATTTTCCATTCCGCAATCATGACCACGTCGTTAATGATGCTGTGTACGAGCAAGGGTAGCAACAGAATTCTTGTCCAAAAATGTTTGCGAGTTAAGTAGCATCATTCGCCTTAAACACTGCCATAAAATTACGTGTGATGTTGTTATGTGCTGAAGCAAAACGCTTACGGAAACAAGAAATGCAACAAACAGTGTTTTGTACATCCGTCCACATTTCACGTAGCCCGCTGACTGTAACTTTCGAATGTATGAATGGAATGTTTCATAGACTTCATAAGCTGACCTGAATTTTTCGACCCAGACATATGTACAGATACGGATATTGGAATTGATGGGAAAAGAATCTAAAAGACAAACCGTGACACGACATATATGTTGAAGAATGACAATCGCCGTAAGAGTGTGACGTAACATGAGTATGAATCCCACTAATCGTGGTCGTAAGTTGTGTGCTCTTTAAGCATAACTAGACATACTTTATGCTACCACTTTTTCAATTCCGCAAACTATTACGCATGCAGTACACTAGTAAATGCCAGCTGTATTACAAGGCTAGTATAATGAAAGACGCATAACGTTCCGTTCATTCAATTGGCACCCTCTTATATTAGTTATAATGTTGAATGATATGATGTATGTTATGATCTGTAATGATTCATATCACATCAATCGTAAGGTACGGTTTATATATGAAAGAAGGAAGTTCAAGTGCTCATCGCCCTCACAATAACGGCCAAGCGCAGCGAGTAGCTGCGCTTATATTAACAACCCATCTAACTACTGCTCAATGAGAACATGACTAGCTTTACAAATTTAGGTTGTTACCTTAGAGTATTTCGGTGGGATGTTTGCCTGATGTGTATTTGTGTGAACTGGTTTACTGATATGACATGTCTGCCATGGATTTTCTGTCACCCGGTATTCTTGCTGCGAAAATCAGTCATTACTGCTCTACTCTGATCATAACTGCATTGTAGTTGGAAGCACGCTCTGGCCTATGGATTAGTTCAAAACATAAAGATCACAGAAAGCACATTTTATGCTTTTATAAAATTGGTCCGCAAAAGCGTAGCAAGGCAGGCGACCCAAAACTCGGCCAAAAGCCCTCGCGTTCTTGCGGGTTAGATGTTGGCTGGTTAGCGTGTTAAAAAGTTGCGTCTCTAGTACAAGTCTCTATCATATAACCATGCTTCTAAATGATGTTTTTAGGTAATCAGATACGCTTACTGGTAGTTGTTAGCACAAAGGTTCTGTTAAAATGTATTTGTTTCTTAACCGGGTTGTCACATTGTTATGCGCAAAAGTGAGTTGATCGTGCAATTTGTCAACATTAAAGTACCTAAAGATTATTTCAAAAGTACGTCTTACTGGTGGCATGCATTATTGTACATTCATGTGTGTACACTGCACGTCGAAAATTAGATGGAACAGAAAAGAAACAGGTGACAGGGGAAGAAAAGGGGAGAAAGGAGGGCGAGAAGAGTGGGGGAAGAGAGATGTATTGAGGCAGGGAGAGCCGACATCACTCACCGTCAGGCCGGCAAGCACCAGCAGCAGGGAGAGCCGACATCACTCGCCGTCAGGCCGGCAAGCACCAGCAGCAGGGGGAGCCGACATCACTCACCGTCAGGCCGGCAAGCACCAGCAGCAGGGAGAGCCGCATGACTCGGCCTGCCGGCTGGCAGCTGGAGCGGAGCCCCGACCGCCCAGCGAAGCAGTCACGGGACTCGGCGCGTCTTGTGGGCTGCGCTCGTTTATAGGCCCGCCGACCGGCCATGCGTGACGCAACCAGTGAGAAGACGAGTATACAAGCGACGGGCAGATGGGATCGTGGTTATGGCACAATCGCGTGCAAACGTGCCACTTTTGCCAGAAGTGATCAACATCAAGAATAATGGAAAGTTGACCTGTGATTACTAAACACAAGAATCATGAGGAATAGAGGTGTGATGCGTCATGTTGTCGAGCTTGTAAGATACGTCAGGGAAAATAGGGCTTCAATGAATGGAACGGAAGCAAAAGTCAGAACTCTCTGACATTACATGTATTTCCTAATGCCGTTTTCATGTGTCAAGCACCCTTATTTCAATGAAGCAGAGATTGGATTCGAACGAACTCTGTCAGAAGCCCAATCGAGAATCCTTAAAGAAGCCGCGGTTACAAACCCACAATAATGTTCTCCTTGCGGTTCGAGGCGTCTGATATCATTACGTAACGTGCTGCAGTGAGTAGCGTACAATTTTGCAACCGCCGAGCGTCAGTTTGCTGCTGCTTTAGTTCACATTTTCTCCAGTGCCCCGGGGTCTCGCATTTGCTGGAGGGATGGATATAGTGTATACTGTATCGTGTAAAGTATACTATAGTATAGTATAGTATATGTATAGTATAGTGGCTGCCTACGTGTCGTTCCTTATGAGCGGTCGGGACTATTTTGACATGAGCTTGGTATTGAGGAAATGAATCAAAAGAGGATCATCAAAAAAAAAACTTGTGGTTAACGCAGAATAACTGATGTCATGGTGTGTGGTTGTTATCTTGGTCGCCCTAATTTAAATCTCAACATACTTCAGGATTGTATGTACATATACACACACACACACATATATATATATATATATATATATATATATATATATATATATATATATATATATATTATGTATATATGATAAACATACCGCACTATCAGATGAAAATCCATTTGGATACAAAGCTTACCTAGATGTAGTTAAAGGTACTTTGGTGTTTGCTTCGTATCTTACAATGCTGAAAACGCCAACAATTTTTTCCTAGGCGCAGGCGCCAGATACGGACTGAGGCGAGGCAGAATCAAGCAGTACGAACATTTTGAACA